TTATGGAGATTAGCCCACCCGCCCAGGGAAGGATTTTCAACCAGGGGCTCAGGGAGGAGGAAGAAGTCAGGCCCACGAAGCTAGTGCAGAGCCCTGGTGGCAGTGGATGGTACCCGGGGACCCAGGAGGCGTCCTGGGCTACGTGCAGCTGGCAATGCTCTTGTGGGGACAGCACCCTGCCAGGCTGTCCCAGGAGTGACTGGAGGGAGCACCAAGGGGGAGCTCTGGCTCTCTGGCCACAGGCTGCCCAGGCGGGGGTGAGGGGAGAACGGCCCCTTTGTCCAGGTGCCTTTCCCTCTGGCCTGACCCCTCCTCAGAGGCACAGCAGGAGGGACAGGCTGACCCTGGAGGCTGGGCTGACACTGGGCTGGTGGGCCCAGGCCCAGGGACACTGTGACTGTTTTCTTATGTGGGGCTCCAAGCTGCCAATCACAGCAGAGTCTGTCCTCCCTGCCTCTGGGCAACACCACAGCAGCTGGGGGCCAAGGGATATTGTTCGAGCACACCCGCAGGCATGGAAACTTCTCCCCGAATGTCCCAGGAACCATGCCTGCTGTGCTCACTCACCTGGTTGCACAGGGAGCCCTGGTACTTCTCAAGTGGGGCCCAAGCGTCGTGCTTCCAGACCTCCACCTCATAGCACAGTTGTGTTTCGTTATCCCATCTGTTAGCAAAGTTTTCCTCGAAGGTGGTTGCATCTATCAGGGTTCTGTGGGCACAGACAGGAGGAACCCAAGGCATGAGACTCCTCTGGGGATCACCCCGTTCTGCTCCCCTCTGCACCCACTTCCCAGCTAGACACACAGACGATGGCCATCCACTCACTTAGCTGGAGCCACCTAACCTCACTCTCTGACCCTCGGGGGCTCCTGGGAAGTCAGCCGAGTCCTTTTGTCAGGTCTCCCCGGGAGCAGTGCAGGGGCTCAGAGCTCTGACGGGGCCTCTCCTGGCATCACCGTCCTGCCCTCGTCCCGCTGACCCAGCCCTGCCAGGTGCAGGCCCAGTGGCGCTGTTTCCTCTGCTCTTCTGGGTTAACCTGAGCCACATGGTGCATCAGGGGAAAGGGTGGCCCCATCGGGGAAAAGAGATGCCAAACTAGTCTTCTCAAATAATTCATGACATTTCCCTTCTCATCATAAAAAAAATCGTGTCCTTTACAAAAATCAAAACATAAATCTGTACGTGACCTCCTAAGGCCTTAGTGCAGAGCAGAAAGAATAGATTTCATGTGAGACGGGGGGAGAGGAGAAACAGGGATCCTCAAGGGTGACCCCCAGATTGTAGCCTGGGGCCATGGGAGGTGGGTAGGACAGGCCAACTGGGCATCAGCTGAGGGGTC